TAAAGCCCGTATCAGACTACGGATTGGGATTGGGATTAGATTGAAATTTAACCAATCACAGTAAAGTTTACTAATCTCAAGTTCAGTAACTTTTACTCTGATTGGTCAAATTTCAATCTAATCCCAATCCCAATCCGTAGTCTGATACGGGCTTTACACTGGTATTACCGATACGTCGCTGTCGCGCATGCGCGAAAAACGCGACCAGTCCTGACGTCACCGCTCGACGCGCATCTCCAGCGCGTCACGTGATCGACGTTCCGATGGTGCGGAGCGTCGGTGCACGTTACGGTGTGTGCTTTGTAAATAAAATGTTTTCCTTTAAGCGCGACGCGGGCGCGACGGGCGATTCCTGAGGGCAAGAGGGTCGCGCGGAACGGAAGCATCCCGACGGAGATGATGTTCAGTGATGTCCACCCGCTGAGCGAGAGGTAGCACCGCGAGGATGACGCCTAAACGGAAGGCAAGTGTATTTGTAGGTTACGGCAGGCGAAGGACTTCTGGGTATTTCCTTCGTTCGCCGCCGTCGCGATGATATCCGTTTGTTTTTCGTCGTTGTCATCCTCGTCAGGGTGAAAATTATGATTCTTCAGTCTGTTCGCCTTGAGGAGAAAGAGAAGTCGCCCGCAACGTACGCGTCAAGATGCCCGCGTACAGTGTAATGTTATTTTACAGACGACCAGTTCCGAGTCCACGTCGACGAGCAGCTCCGGCTCCTCGTCGAGCAGCTCGTCGAGCTCGGGCAGCGAGTCCAGCTCGTCCGACTCGGACAACTCCAGTAGTTCCGCCAACAGCCAGAAAGCGTCCGACGCAGAGAGGACCAAGAAGAAGGTGCCGTTCCCGGTCACCCGTCATGTCAAGTCCAAGGCCGAGACGGCGTCCGCGCCGCCTTTGGAGAATAAGAGTAAGGACAGGCAGCCGCCGAAGTCCAGGCCGTCCGTGTACTCGTCCGAGTCCGAGGAGTCGCCCATCAAGGCAAAGTCGCCGCAAAAGAGGAAGCCGCCGGCTAAACCGAAGGCTACCGCTACCGTAGCGCCGGTCGTGAAGACGCAGAGATCTCCCACAAAACCGGTGCCCGCATTGGGACAACATAAAATTGTACCTGTTTCAAAGCCTGTCAATGCCAAGCCCAACAAATTTTCGGGTGAGTTCGTAATTCAGCTTAAATATTTTATATTTTATGTCTCTAAAGCAATATACATAATTGACAAGATTAAATTAACTGTTAAGGTTCCACGGGTGCCAACAGCAAATCTCCCGAGAAATCCGTGAAATCAACGGAACCGGTCCAGAAGAAATTGAAGAAGAAGAGTATATTCAGTCCGGAAAACAGTAGCGAAAGTGACAGCGGGGTTTCGGCGAAAGTTAGCGTGGTGAAGCCGACAGGTAGTTCTGCGAAATGTTCCAAAAATCCACCTGCTAAGGCAAAATTGAGTGACCCCAAGCAGAAACCCATAGCAGCGAGCAGACCCGGTAAAGAATTCTATTCCATGTATATATCAACGATCGCAAAGGTCTTGATATTCGAATATAACTTTATGCACTGTTTTTTTTATGTATTACTTCCTGCAGTCGCGAAACCTGTGCAAGCGCAGAAGTCGGACAGTTCCGCGAGCTCAAAGAGTTCTGGCGGCTCGGCGTCCTCGGGTAGCTCGGACAGCAGCTCCGATTCGGAATCGTCCGAAAGCGTCACCAGTTCCCAGCCGCAACCAAAAAAGAAGGAAACGCAGTCCAGCGCGCTGACGAGTAGCACTGCGACGAGTGTGCCGCCCAAGAGGCCTTCGGCGACAGTCGCCCCGGTAAAACCGCAAAAAGCAGTCACAAGACGGCAAGGTTTGTTAAGTTTACCGATGCGTCGATATTGTACATTAAAGAAGAAGGAAGAACATGAATATGGCTTTCTGAACAGGCGCTAAGGGTCTAAAGAGCGACAACGATGGAGACGCGTCCGCGAGTGAGAAAGAGCTGGACGATCGTGAAGCGTCATCTTCGAAAACGGTGGCGAAGGGCAAGCGGAAGCTGCAAACGCGCAAAGGAAGTAAATTGCTTCAGCTGCAAGCGAAGGCAGACAGCGATTCCGAATCTGACACAGGTGTGGACAAAAGATAGTTTTATAACTGAAAATCTCATTCGATTCAAAATGATATTGACTATTTTCGATTATTTTTCTATCCATTCTATAAATTCGCCTGTTCTACAAATATTCGAGTTCTTCGAGTCCCTGCAATAATTGCATCAAAACACGTTTGTTTTACTTGAGTCCTGCTCATGGTAACAGTACAACATGGCAATCGCATTCAAGTAGGAAAATAGTGTTAAATCTTATTCAACGTTTATTTTACTCGTGTATTTCTACTTATTAAGTATAACGAAAATGTGTATCTATAACGGTGCTCTTATAGCCCGTCGACGTTAATAAACGAACAATATTTGTACCGGCTATGATCGGCCACCAAGTCGTTCTAACTTCTATACCGCCGTCCACTTCACTTCTCAGTTAGAACTCGAGCGAGCAACGTGTATTTTAAGACTATTATCGGCAATTAAATATAGTGAGTATTACAATATTAACAGAACATCGTTTATAAATACATTCTGCGTACACCATCGACTCATTCGCGAACCAATAATACGCGAGTACGTTTGTAAATTGCACTGACTTGTACGATATGTTGAGAGTAGCCGAGAGCAAGAGGAGCACGAGCAAATCGCCTGTTAAACGCGCTGGACCGTCCGCTGCCGTCAGACAATCCTCCGGAGCCAGTAGATCAATGCAGAATAGCGGTGCCGCCAATACTACAGGTGGTAGAACAAATCAAGCGTCTTACAACCGAGCGCGCGCCACAAAGGAACGTGAATGTCCACTGGCTGCATCCTGCGATTCACGGGGTCATCTCTCTGGAAAACTCGACTCGCACTTTACTCTGGAAGCGTGTCCGCTGTATCACAATACCACGCCCCAAGCTTGCGTGTAAGTTGCAGTTCAGATTCCAATTTGTTCAATAATGATGTTGAACTACATGAAAGGCACCGCGCGTATCGATGTCAAACGTAAAATAATATTGGCTTTTCCAGAGAGTTTTATAAGGAGAGAAAAAAACGAGAGGAGGAACGCAAGAAGGCGATAATGAATCTAACTAAGAAACCCAAAGGTGTTCATCAAACTACCGAACAACGCAATTACCAACTTAAAGTACGTGAGATGAGGAACAAATGGAAGGGTAATACCGGCGATGGTAATGAAAGCGATAGCGGCGGTGAATTGCAGGGGAACGAAAAGGACAAGCAGCCTCGGCTCAACAATCTCACACCTGATTATGACTTGAAACTGTTTATGGAGGCCCAAGCGATAGCCAGTGAAAAAGTCGTGAGTATTTAATTTACGTCTCATTGTCAGTTAATATATTATTAGGCTGTGAATCATTGATATTTACAACTTCAATTGATTTTTATTGAATTTACTTTTGATTAAATGTGTCCCAAGTGCGTGTTACTGCGCTCTTCTATCAACATCGGTGCTTATTTTATATTTAAGGAAAAGGAGGTGCAAGAATTGGATTACGATGGAGAGGGTAGAAACGGTGGTGGCACTAAAGTCGTGGAAATGGGGAAATGGGAAATGGAAGTTTGGTATCAAAGTCCATATCCTGAAGAATATAGTCGCGCTCCGAAGCTTTATCTTTGCGAGTATTGCCTGAGGTATGCGAAAAGCCGTCAAGTTTTGAGGAGACATCGAGAGAAGTGTTTGTGGAGACATCCTCCGGGACACGAAGTATACAGGTAAAACACGTTCTATTAGGTATTCTTCCTCTATTATTTACGCTCGCATTTTACGTTGTGGGGCACTTGTAAAAATAAAACAAGATAATTTCTTGATCAAATGTATCCGCGAAATATTAGTGGATCCAGATTAAAAGAGATTAACGTTAAATGCTTCAATTTCTCTCTTTAATTCTTTCAATATTTCGGATTTTCTTTGTTCAAGTTACGTAACGTCTGCCATTTGAATTGTTCAAGGTAGTCATCCAAATTATCGCGTGTTATTTCACAGGAAGGACAAGATAGGCGTGTGGGAAGTGGACGGCAAGCGATACAAGCAGTATTGTCAGAATCTCTGCTTACTGGCCAAATTCTTCCTGGATCACAAAACATTATACTACGACGTTGAGCCGTTTCTTTTCTACGTCATGACAATCGGCGACTCCGAGGGCTGCCATACCGTCGGATACTTCAGCAAAGTGAGTACATTACCTGCTTGACTAATCGCCGGCTAATCGCCGTGTCAATTTGTATTCGGTTCATAGAAATATTTCGCGCGATCGCGCCGCCGTTATTTTTCCGAGTATCGAGATTTCGCAGCTAACGATATCGGCACTGCAATGAAATGTTTTCGCGAGGCGAAAACCGAAGATCTCGAAATTTTTCAATCCGAAAATTCGACGGAATCGACGAGTTCCATCGTTTGGTCTACGCGATCCCCAGGCCTTCTTTCCGCGGCTTAGCCGGCTCCCAACCCCGCCGACCTCGTAATAGCATCCACGTAGCGTGCACGGATTACGCGAACAAGGGTACGTAGGGAAGAGGGTGTCTCGTATCTCTGACCTTTCTTCACTCCCACCCTTCCCTCCCATCCTCCCTCTCGCCGCCGCCAGGCCTGGCGTACGCATACACACGTTGCCCCGAGGAGTAGAGCGAGGGTGGGAATCACGCACGCCTATTTACCGCGGGACACAGCATCGCTGGGAGTCGAAATCTTCACCGACGTTCAACGACCTCTGACCCTGGCAAGACGCGCCGCCAATCCGCCTCCCCGCCCTTGCCCTCAACCCCTTTTTCTCCTCTCCCTCCCCCCCCCCTCCGCGGAGATGTGGCGAAAATTTTCTCCGGACTCGACTTAAATTTTTCCTCTCGCTCCCCCTAATTCCTTTGTCTCTCGTCTCGCGCCGGGAGACCCCTCGTCTATCCTCCGCGACCGGCGATCCGTCTCCGTCCCGAAACCCCCTTTCTCCTATTTCTTTCTCCGTTCTACGAGAAAGAAATCCCGCCCGATAGCGCCAAGTGAGATGAAAGGGAGGATTATCCGTTCTGCAAATTGTTACGCCAACGTCTTGACAAGAGGATCGTTTTGTCAGACCTTTAGCACTTGTCGTTCAATCGACTCGACTGTCTCGTTTCATTCATTATACGGGGCGTCCGTCTGTTGCTATTCTGCGGATTTTTCGGCCAACTCTCGATGTCCTCTTAGCGAGAACGTCATAATGTTTCTAGTCGTCCAGTAATTAACCAAATTTGGCAAATCGACCGAAGAGTGCGTCGTCCAAAGGTGATTAAGATGGGATGAAATAGCCTTTTCTCGACGGAGTCTTCTTCCTACGATTCCTCGTAATACCAAATAAATGAGTATCTTATAAGTCTAGGAATCATTTTTTGTCTCTTACTTTCTGGCACAGCCGCAAATTTAATTTCAACAATCTTCATTCATTGGCAAGCAGCAATAGAATTTCGGCGACCAGTAATATCGACGTGCTTTCGTATTCATGATGCGAGTTTGTTCGATCAACTGTGCTCCACGATCGATCGAAGGTATGCCTTGATAGCACAAATTGCATGAAACATCTAATCTTTATCGTTATTGCCGAGGGATATCAAGTCGCGTTATATCTCGCGTAAAAGAGGGCGTGTCCCGCCGTGAAATATTCAGTTAAGTTTCCAAAGTATCCCCTTCGTTCAGAATTATATCACGACTCCCTGTGAATCCCGTACGAGCCACTCACACACCTCGATCTAAAATAATGTTTCAACTTAAAAGTGTCAGCTTCAACGAGGGTAAAATGACGACGAGTCTAAGAAGACTCGTCTCATTCTCGAGGTACGTGCGTCATGCGCCACTCTTCGGTTAACTTTCGGATGAAGCGCTTGAAATCGGGAACAATGCCCCCGTCGTATCAATATCTCGGATCCATGACAGACGTGTGTGTAATTCTGGGCACACGTTACGCGCGCGGATACGAATCCCTTTACCTGCGAAAATAGACTGACATTGGTTCCCGTTTCGCGGTATTAATATCTATTAATATCGGCGAATCGTCCCGGCGCATCTCCTCTGCTGGCCGACTGGCAAATTATGTTACACTCCGTATAAAAGGGCGTAACTCGCTTCCTGCATCCGCAGCAGTGGCGGCGGCGGCGGCGGCGCGAAGTCAAAATCTTTATAGACGTTCAATGACCCCGACCCTGGCCAGACGGTCGCAGGGTAACGCCGGCGGTGGTGGTGGTGGTGGTGGTGGTGATGGTGGTGGTGGCGGTGCTGCTGCTGCTGCTGACGGTAGTGGTGGAGGAAGCGGTGGTAGTAGCAGCGACGGCCGGGACACGTGGGGTGAAGAGTGCGGGGGAGAGAGAGAGAGAAAGAGCGAGAGAGGGTTGAGGGTGGTCCTGCTGCTGGCGCGTACGTACGCTATGCATGCGCTTCAGTAGACCAGGTGGAGGAAGGCGCGCGAGGGCAGGAAGGGTAGTCGAGCGGCTGGGTGGTTTAGGCGGTTGGCCGATGGCGGTGGCCCCGGAGAGAGGTGGTAGTAGCTGCCGCGGAAGGGGTTGTGCCGACGGCTGCGGAGGGTGTCGGCGCAGGAGGGGAAGGAGGGCGTCGCCTGCCGCGTCGGGTCGTCAACCTTTCTGCGGCACTGCGACGTCGTCGGGGTCGTTATTATTTCCTCCTCTTCCCCCCTCTGCCCCTCCTCCTTCCTCCTGCTCCTTCTCATCCTCCTTCTGGTCCCAGCGTGTCTTTGCACGCTCTAGTCGTCTCCGTCGTTCTTCCCCCGTTCTTCCGGTACCACCTCCAAGAGGTGGCGCGTGTTGTTTTCCTCCCGTCCTCTTCTTCGTGTCCCGTCTTTCCGTTCGGCTCGTCTTAACACGCTCCTTCGACGCCACCCTCCGTGTTTCGATCCATCTTCGTATCCTTCTTCGTTCGTTCGTTCGTTCGTTCGTTCGCTCGCACGGCTTCCGAGGTCGCGAGATCTCGCCTTCAACGATCGCTCATGCGTGTACACTCGTCCCCCCCCCCTCTCTCTCTCTTCCTCTCTCTCTTCCTTCCTCTTCGGATAGGTAAGCAGTTCGCGCGAGGTGTCTTTTATCTTCACATTCTACTTGTCTTCTTACGCAAGCTTCTTATCCTCCTCGATCTATCTCTCTTGTCGCATGCGCGTAATTTTCGCAATGATCGTTCACGCGAGTTTGCTCGATTAATCTTCACATCGCTTCAGTATGTTCCAGATATTAACGCTAAAGATATTAATATGTTTAAAGTGTATAAACCTCGATGGGCCAATCGCCCGTCAGCCTGACATTGCTCGACTACTAAAACTATTAGGAAAGGAAGCCGGAAGGATAGAGACAACTGGCAGAATTTCCTAAAAGCCCTAGGCTCCAGCTAGGAGTGACAGGAATATGTATATATAAGCGTATAAATGTGACTTGTTTGATTTCAAACGCCATCCTCTCTAATGAGGAATTTGTTATCAATGTCGACCCGACGTGAGAATCTTCGTGCTTACCGCTAAACCCGAAGCGGATATCCGACCTTCTTACGTCTCTACGTTCCACGACGATACCGTCGTCGTCTCCTCGTCTCGTTCTCCTCCTTCACTGATCTTTCTAATACGACACCACTGCCGATCGCGGTGAATATCGACTCGATATTGAATTTCCAAGCGCTCGCTTGTCTTTGAGCGCCGCAACGTTCCACCGGTCGGTTTCGCTCGCTCCGCTTCAACCTCGTTCTCTGCTCGCGTTTCCACGCGTCGAATTTCATCTCTCTCCTCCGTATTCGCTTTTCCGTCTCCCGTCTACGTCGCCGTCGCCGTCCCGTTAAACCACAATGTCGGCGTCTCACCTTGACGTTGCGGAACGGCTACCATCTTGATGCGATCACCTGAGATTTCCGAGAGTAGCGAAGGAGCAGAATTTTGTTCAGCTCCCTCTTTCCTTCGGATATATGGTTTCTTGTTCGCCAAGTGGAAATTTACGGCCGGAAAACGCGAGCAGACCGCGACGCTTCCCGACACTCGGATCTGGATTCACGCTTGACCATAACCGACGGGATGTGGATTAGCCGGGGTGGTATCATCCCGCGTCACCCCGCGGTCTGTGGATTATGAGCTGTCCGTCTTCCCCCTGATCCCTGCGGACGCAGAGAATAACGTTTGTACAGTTGACGGGAAAAGAAAGCCGTTCTCGAAGATGAATTCAGTTTTAACAGTCTTGCTGCCTAGGCGATTACATTTTTCTTTTTACGACCGAGACATCTCACGCAATAATTATGTTTTATTTATAACGAACAAGCAATGATATTTTGTTATAGTTGCATTTTGCGTGGAGTCTTTTCAGAGCAAGTAGTAAAAGTGTAAACACCTAGACTGCAATCACAATGGTTGCACTCGCTCAGGATAGCTGCACCGATAATGTCGTTTAGTCCGGCGATCCGAAGATACGTACCTCTCGGTAGACGACAACGAAGCTGCTTTCGCCTTTATTCGCGGCAATTTCACAAAGACACAGAAACGACCTCGGATCGTCCAAAGTAGTTTAGAATCGTTCACGAGCTCCGTCGTAAAAGTTGCCCGATATCCCGCCCGCTCTTCCTCTCGTGGCTTGACCTTTGACTATTCAGACATTGACATTTTGCGATGCAACGACGTGGTCGTTCACCCCACGTAACTCGGTCGTTGACCTTGAGCCATCTGGCCGTTGACCTCGCGAGTGTCGCGGCTGTCGACCTCCTCCGCCGGGGTCCCGACGTTGAACTTGGATAATCGCGCTCTCTTCACCTTGAGCGGTACGAATCCGTCCTCCGTGTTATCAGGGATTCGTCAGAGTCCTCGATTTCTATTACCGTCGGTGCGCTCTCGCTTCGCGTTGCGCATCTTCGCTCGTTCTGCGAAGGTGGAATTCTGATCGAGCCCAAGGCAGCCGAGCAGAAATTAAGAGGGTCGGATTGAGGCGTGAACGTTTACAGCTTCCGCCGTGTTTACTGAGACATGAAGACGAGCTGTTCTTCCGCCATTCGAAGCTTCTCCCCGCGCCTATTTGTTCTCAGCACGAGGTAATGCAACCTCTTACTCGTCGCAAGTAGGGATAATTGGGCCGAAGGTCATTGCGATGAATATGAAAGATGCAGATCCTGAACGGAATCTTGTGGTTATTACTGAATGAAACGAACCTTTGAAGGGTAATATCGGATACGCTG